TCATGATAGCAGATTTGTAACAATATTCAAATTTAACAATACATTTGATTTCTTCTTAAATCAGAGAATTTCAAAATCAAATCTACGAAAATTAAGACCCAGTGAATAATGTTCAGTGATTGGCTCTCACATAATCACATACGTATTAGCCAGTTCTTTGAAACGCACTAGATGTATGGCAATTAGCATAATTACTGTGAGTCTCATTCGCACATAAATGCTTTTTCTTATCAAGAAACATTCAACTATGAATGATTTAACTTGCCTGTGAATGTACACCTGACATTGGTGACTGGGGAAACATTCTACAGGTAGATTAAGACTTATTAAAAACTCAATAATGTCAATTTTACAATAAATTCAGATTCTTTAGCGGATCAGCTACCTTTAGTCTTGTTATGGGGATTGCACAATGGGTCTTGAAATTCATCATCATTAATGTACTTTCACAGCTAAAGGATTTACAATCATTTGACTCTATTTTGATGTATAAGAGATTGGACATACCTCCCTGAGGGAAAAACTGGGCATATATTTCTTTAAATGTATCTTCATTAACTATCCCTGTTGGACATTCCTGAAAAAAAAAGAAATAAACAAAGTTATTGATTGTATTTATAGCCTGTGTATACAATAACATGAGTGCAATCAGTTCACAGAATACGTATGTCTGTCTGGTATGTTGAAATATTGCAATTGTTTTGATTTCAAAACTATATGATGTACTTTGATTTTTTTCAATTGTTTACAGTACATAAGTTTGTTTTTACTCATAGCACTACATATGTATATTTCTCAATATTCCCCGTACATGTACATTCATTTAATATTTTTTAAGATGTTCAAACTATAAATTACATATTTTTACATGCAATTAAGAACCATATTTTTTTTTACCCCACACATAAATGACTGTTTTATTAAAACCAAGATCAGTTATATTTCCTTGTAGATGCGATAGTATTTGTAACCAATGCATTATATGCTATAGCCTGGTTATTATACTTCTGTACCATTAGTAATCCACTTTCCATGTAGTCTGGTCATGCAGCTAAGATTTCACCTCCATGGTCGGAGGGGGATGGGTGACTGTGATATTAATTGGCTCATAAGTATAGCTAATCTGAATATGCTAATTTTTTAAACAAATGATAACAGTTGTACACCGTCCTCACAAGTTTACTAATTGATACAGTGGAGGGCATAAGACTGTACCCTAGATTATAAATATGTTTATGAAAAAATGTTAATACCAATCATCAGTTTAAATATTTAATAGTGATTGGCTCAAGATATTAACATTGTATATGCCCGCAATGTGTGCACATGTCTTCAAATGACATGCTAACTGTGACTGCCACTAGTTTAAACTGAGGCACTTGCTGATTGGATGATTTTGAACTCATTAATATTAATTAGAACTAATGATAATGTCACAATTTGTGGATTCGTCAATTTGAATTTTAACATGCATTTTGATTTGTTAAAAATGTGTATTTACAAAAACATTTATAACAACCCCAGCTATGTGCCCTTCACTGTAGTTACAACAGTGATCAAAGTGACATTATAAGAAATTTACAAGATTAATGAGAAAAATCTTAGTGTCAATTCCAGTGAAGAGTGGATAAGCAAGCTAAATATGCCATTGTTGGTAAACGCGAAAAATAATAGCAAGCGAACTGAAGACCCACTTATAAATACATACATGTGGCAAAGTGATAAGACCATCAAAATAGCTCGGCTGTATCAGCAGAACAAAGTATTGCAATACTAAGGCTCAGACTAGTAATATTACTATCATCACAAGCACCAAAACAATTGAGATGGTAGTTTTCAAAAAATGTCAAAAATATTCACTAAAAATATTCGCCAAATTAACAAAACTGATAACTGGTCAACCTAATACATGTGCACTATAAAAGCGGGGGAGTTGTCACTTACGCATGCGTCAGACGACCATAGCATGTCATTGTTTATCCATGAGACTTTGCATTTTCAGTGTGTGTGTTGTTATCATCATTTGGGACTCAATTCCCATGCGTGCGCAGGTGACAACCCTCCCGCTTTAATATCAGCACTGTATACCAAATAGTGTCATAGTAGAAGTCATCCAAGAATTATTATAGTTGTTAGTAGCTAATTTGCATAATTTCGGGCAGATCAACTTTTAAATTTTAACAAATTTCAATCTAAACCCATACACAACAAAAATCAAATAGTTCTGGTTTTTGAGAAGAAGTCACCCACATTCAGACATCCATCCGGACAGATGAGCAGACAAACAGATAGCAGACTCCAGGTGCCGGACATACCTTTATTGGTATAGCTCCGTAGACCTACGATCCATTGAGCTAAAAAATGACAAAAATATTTGCTTAAAAAAGAGAACTGAAGATATTGTCACGAAATGAACAAATCTGACAGAAGTCCGCCCTAGTCACCTATTTACCAAGTATCAAAGCAATTGCGTAAATAGTTTTCAAGAAGATGAAAATGTAATCGTTAACAGACAGATGCCAAACGGACAGACAACAGCAATTACCTATATATACAGCTCTGCTATGTCATTCTACAATGACAACAGAGATAAAAAAAAAAAATAGATGGTTCGGTTCTCATCTTGGAGAAAATGAAGAAAAAACATTTTCCAACTCTGCTAGAGCACCTCATCAGTATGCAAAATGAGAGAAGAAAAAAATGTGTGAACGTAATTAGAGAATTTATAAAAAATGAAAAAAATTGATAGACAGACAGACAATACACAGATGGGTATAAACATCAATTAGCATCACAATTACATTACTGATGATGAAATGCAGAGCTGAGAAAACTCGTTACATCATAATTAAGCATGCAGCTGTGGCTGTACCAAGTATACAACATTGTCTATTGACGCCACGGCAACCATCTTTATGACACCTGTTGTCACGGTGATGACACCTTGAGGGAGAAGACACAACACACACAGCATCCTTAATGGAAATTTCTGGATTTCTGGCATTTTGCCAATGCAATCGGTTTAGAGACTGCGAACTTCTAAAATACCCATGACAATGTTATGAAATTACCATGGCAACTGCTCAAACAGGTTATTAGGAATTTAATTTTTTGTTTAATTCTATTTCCTGAAGACATTGACATGATTCAAATTTTAAATAGTACCATGTGTCGGCTTGCATCAAATCTATGCAATTGTTGTCATGGTAATAGCAATATATTCCATGACACGAGAAATGACAACTTAAACTGAATGAATATTTTTAAACTTCAGATCAAATACATACAACTAAAAATGTATCTATATGTACAATGGTTGAAACATATAAACCAAACCAGATAAATTTGAGCAATGTTAATACGATGATAATAACCACATCACATGCTTTTTGTCTCTATTTCTAGTCTATCGATGAATAGTATAACAAGCACTATTACAAGTTCACTACCAGTTGATTATACTATACAGAACAACATGATTGTATATTTCATTCAGTTTGACCTCTTGCAGCGGGGGTCTACACTAATTGCCAGTTTGAGCTCACACTAATAATATTGAACACATACTTCTAACAAGTGCTTTCAAATTTCACATTCATTTTGCTCTAAAAAAATTTCTATAATTCCTTTCACTTTCACGAGTAATGATTTGTAGTCGTTACCAGATAGTGTTACCTCATCTGTAAAATGACCATCTATAAGAATATGATAATTAATTTGTGAAGACGCTGGCAAGAGACAAGGATGTCACTGCATAGTAATCACACTGATGCCTCTCACCGCTACTGCCTTGTCTTGATCACAATTAAGCAATTTCGCTTTATGAGAAAATGGCCAACAACATGCAGTTTGAATGAGCAAATAGTGTACGTGTAAGTATGAGCAGTCATTACACCCATAGGCGAGAATCCCCAAGGATGTCATACGATGACTTTGCAAAATTAATATTGTTTTTACTGCAGGTTTAATTTAACTCAGAGAACAATGTTTTCTCTTTTCGTTTTTTTTATGAGAAAACAGTGAGAATCCATGGCATCGCATGGCGGTAAGACACAATGCATGCAGTTTTTTCTTAGAGTTTCACCATGGTGATATTTTGTATGCTGATTGTACAGGATTAATGATGATAATGTGCAATATAATTACCAACAATGATTAAATTTTTATTAATCTCATTAACAATGAGTGATATTAGCATGCAAAATTTAGTGTCATGATGACTTTGTCAAACTAATTACTTTGAATCTAAATAAAAATTAATGTATGTCCGTTAGTTTGAAATGTTAGTTCTCTGTGGTTGACTCAAATTAATTTCTTCCAAAATAGAAGAAATAAAAGTACAAATTTGATGGCTCTTTATTACTGTGTTTGCTCTATTGATAATACCAATGTATATATGTATAAATTCAAGTGGTCTAAAATTAAGTCATAAATTAATGTTCCAGTACCGATATATATAAATAAATGCATTTATTGAATACTACTGGATTTATCACATTTCGGTTCAATGACCTGAATAAAACCTGTTCGGCCATGGGTAATGTACATGTAAGTATTTTCATTATTAAACAATAATGACTAGCAGTCTAGCCGTTGAAGTCTTTCTACAACAAATACAATCCAACAAAGTACAATGACAGGGCACATCCATTATGACATCACCGGTATTACAGCACTACAGTCAGTCACACTGCACACAGACCAGACCCATTCATTATGACATCACTGGTATTAAAGCACTGCAGTCAGTCACACTGCACACAGACCAGACCCATCCATTATGACATCACTGGTATTATAGCACTAGTCAG